ATAGATAGATAGATAGGTAGATAGATAGATAGATAGATAGGTAGATAGATAGATAGCGTGAGAGAGAGAGGGATAGATAGATAGATAGATAGATAGATAGAGAGAGAGAGAGAGAGAGAGATAGATAGATAGCGAGAGAGAGAGGGAGAGAGAGAGAGAAAGAGAGAGAGATAGACAGAGAGAGAGAGAGATAGATAGATAGATAGATAGATAGATAGCGTGAGAGAGAGAGGGATAGATAGATAGATAGATAGATAGATAGATAGATAGATAGATAGATAGATAGATAGATAGATAGCGTGAGAGAGAGAGGGATAGATAGAGAGAGAGATAGATAGATAGATAGATAGATAGATAGATAGATAGATAGATAGATAGAGAGAGAGAGAGAGAGATAGATAGAGAGAGAGAGAGAGATAGATAGATAGATAGATAGATAGATAGATAGATAGATAGAGAGAGAGATAGATAGATAGATAGATAGATAGATAGATAGATAGATAGAGAGAGAGAGAGAGAGAGAGAGAGAGATAGATAGATAGACAGACAGACAGACAGACAGACAGACAGAGAGAGAGAGAGAGAGAGAGAGATAGATAGATAGACAGACAGACAGACAGACAGACAGATAGATAGATAGACAGATAGATAGATAGACAGAACTTTATTGATCCTGAAGGGAAATTACAGTGTTTTAGTAGCAACACATATAATTGCACATAAACTTATATATACTATGCAGAAAATAAAGAATAGAAATAAAAATAGACATAAGTTAAAGTATAAGAGTAGAAATAAAGTAGTTCTATTTGCATATTTATATAGCATATAAGACAGATTTGTCATATTTACATGAGAGCAGGCACTGAGCGGTATGAGGTCTAAAAGCACAATGAGTGTGTATTAACAGGAGAGGAGATACAGTGATGAGGTTCAGCTCAGTTCAGACAGCAGGAGATCAGTACCGTCTCTGCAGTGAGGAGACTCGCTGTACAGCCGTATAGCAGTGGGTAAGAAAGCTTTAGCTTTGCTGCGTTTGAAATCTTCGTTTTGCCATCACTACTAAAAAACGAAACCCTTGAAAATGACCTGCAGAGCGCAGCCTTTAACACACATTTGAATTGCTGACCTTCAGGTGGTAGATGTCCCGAGAGGTGCTGATGTTGTTGTTGCCGACGTAAAGTTCGAACAGGGAGCGTGAGCGCTGAACCCCGTGCAGGGAGGAGATCCGGTTTCTCTCGGCAGACAGGAAGTGGAGGTTAGGCAGGTGTTCCAGCACCGAGGCGTCCAGACACTGCAGCTGATTACAGTTAACGCTCAGACGCGTCAAACGCTGCAGCTTACACACACCTGCACAGCACAGATACACACTCAGGTGTGGATATGAAGCCAGATCCAGACTCGAGACCATACAGCACTTACCAACAGCTCAAAACATACAAACAGCAGATACTTCAAAAAGCTCTACACGGGTTGGACCCGCCTGACTCAAAGCATACTTCTTAATATCTTAAAGACATCTTGATCTAAAGCTTTAGGCTAAAACGCTTCAATTTGGTTTCTAAAATAAACATAAATAGTAAAGTCTGTCCAAAAGTTTGTAGACAGCAATGTTTCTTCTGAAATAAAGGATATTAACAGGCCTGGATCATTCCATGGGTTTTATGGGTGCATGTCCCAGGGGCCTGAGCCACTAGGGGGCCCCTGTGAGCAATTATGAGAAAATTGAAACAGCTATTTTGACTTGTGGTGGAAACTTCACTAGTGACACAGTGAAAAACGATTGTGTTGTGGCTGATCACAATCCTGACGCTCTCCAATCACTGCTTAGCAACACTATCCACCGTTACATCTGTTGGGCTCCCAGTGAGTGGTGCACTCTGAGTGGTGCAACCGTGCTGGCCCTCATCTGGAGACTACCAGAAGATCATTAGGAGATTGTGAGTTTAATCCCTGATGATGCTACAGCCATCCGTGGCTGGTGGTCCTCTCTCTCTCTGGGCAGGATGCTAGACAGTGCAGGCGTCTCTTAGCTGCTGTAACAGAACGGGCGGTTAGCATCTCCTCCGAGCGCGTTCAGCTGACCAATGACGTTGCGTTAGCGGCAGGTTAAGAAGACGTGGTGGACCTTCACAGGAGGAAGCCTGTGATTGCTGGTGGTGTCGTGTGATTGGGGGATTGGGTGGAACTGTAAAATGGAGTTGTTATGTCACAACTAAAATGTGTCCCATGATTCACTGTAATGATGATGAGACCACTGAATATCTCTTCATTCACTGTCCCAGAGCAGCAGACATCAGGAGGACATTAATGCACGTCGGTCTGAATTTAAATATTAGTGTGAACAGTGTGATGTATGGATTATTTTCCCCCAATTTTCTCCCTAATTTAGTCGTTTCCAATTCCACCCACTAGTTAGGACTCCTTCAGTCACACGTCACCAGCAGCGCTAGGAGGGTGAAGGCAAACACAGCCTGTGAAGCTCCACCGCATCTTTACAAACTACCGCTCACACAACGTCACTGTACAGCCGAACGCTCTCTGACGAGACGCTAACCACCAGATCTGTTACATCAGCTGACAGACGCCTGCGCTGGCCAGCATTGTGTTGAGTGATGGGAGGAGACGGGGGGCCATCCTACCCACCCAGAGAGAGCGAGGACAATTGCGCTCTCTTGGACTCCCGGCCACGGATGGAACATGTGGAATTTTTAACGAGACTTTTTCCAAAAATGTTTTAGAATTTAATTGGTTCATTGTTTGCACTGTCAATACCAAAATCTGGAAGACACACTGCAAAATGGTCACTGAACAAACTGAATACCTGCAGAAACTGTTTTTAAACAAATCCTGTATGAACTTATAAGACTGAGCACAATAGATGCAGGAAAAAAAGTTCCCCTGGACTTAATCAGTATCACATTATTCTGAATGTAATTAATTACACTGTATAATATTGTGAATTGTTGAAATGTTGATATATTTGTGTTCTGTATTTTGTATTTTTGTACTCTGTTTCTAAAGATGTCTTTATACTGAAATAATTTTCCTCAATGAAGTTTGATATAAAAAGCTAAATGTCTGAATTGAAAAAAAGTTGCGTCCTTCTCAGTAGTGATCAGCAAACTGTCTACTGCTATGCAGAAATTCATCAGAGGTGTGTGATTGCTGTGAGGATTTGACTGCATGTTAAGCATACTGAGTACCATCCAGGCTGCTGATGTTGTTGTGGTTGAGAGACAGCTCCTCCAGCAGGGGGCAGTGTTCCAGACCCTCGATGCGACTCAGCTCGTTTTTATTAAAGGAAGCCCAGCGCAGGTTCACCAGCTTGTCCAGATTTGTGATGCGGGACAGACGCTGACCGTCCAGATTCAGAGCTGTGATCTGAACACAGAAGAAAAAGCTCTTTAAAGCACTGTACATTGATCAGGCATAACATTCTGACCACCTCCTTGTTTCTACGCTCATTGTCCATTTTATCAGCTCCACTTACTATATAGGTGCACTTTGTAGTTCTACAGTTACAGACTGTAGTCCATCTGTTTCTCTGATACTTTGTTAGCCCCCTTTTACCCTGTTCTTCAGTGGTCAGGACCCCCATGGACCCTCACAGAGCAGGTACTATTTGGGTGGTGGATCATTCTCAGCACTGCAGTAACACTGACGTGGTGGTGATGTGTTAGTGTGTGTTGTGCTGGTACGAGTGGATCAGACACAGCAGTGCTGCTGGAGTTTTTAAACACCTCAGCGTCACTGCTGGACTGAGAATCATCCACCAACCAAACATATCCAGCCAACAGCGTGCTGTGGGCAGCGTCCTGTGACCACTGATGAAGGACTAGAGGATGACCAACACAAACTGTGCAGCAGCAGATGAGCTATCGTCTCTGACTTTACATCTACAAGGTGGACCAACAAGGTAGGAGTGTCTAATAGAGTGGACAGTAAGTGGACACAGTGTTTAAAACCACTGAAGTGTCCTGACCACTGAAGCCTGATTGGTGTATATGACCTCACTATCTGAGATAATAAACCTCTAAAACGTGACATCAGTCATCAAAAATGAGAAAAATACATAGAGGGAGAGTTTGTTTTTGTATATTTTCAGGATACAGTGTCCAGACTGGAGTAAATCCAGAGTAGTAACTCAAATTACCACTAAAATATTACTGAATTTGTAAAGTGTTTTTAGGCTAAAAGCATTTCTTTTTGGTTCTTGAGGTTAAGAATAAGATTATGTTTAGGATTTGGCTTAGAAAATTCTTATTAGATCTATTATATTACTAAACATATGTAATACATATGAGATACGTTGTTATTATTATGTATAAATATTTATATATGGATCATTCTGCCCAACTTGTTTCAAAGTCAGAGCTGAAACACATTTGGGACTTTTAACTGATCTTGGACTTCAGACTAAAATCTATTTGCTTTGAGTGACCCTATGCCAGGGGTCGGCATCATGCAGCTCTGGAGCCTCCTTACTGCCCCCTTGTGGCTCCATGGCAGAATTAGATTTTAGGTAAAAATATTATCCTCTTTCGCAGAAAAATAAAGCTTTGTTGATCGTTTTAAAACACAGTTCTAACACAGTTTTAACAATAAATGGTCTTAAATGCTGGAATTAACATATAACTGCTAATATAACTGCAGAACTTTAACCCTGAAGGTTGGCGCACAGACTGCTGGTCACCATAGCAACGCTCTCACCTAGCTAGTAGCTAACAACATAGCAAAGAAGAGAAAGATTCAAGACAAACATTGAGAATTTAGAAACGAAAGGTCTGGTTTCCTGATATGTTTTTGAAAAAAACTGTCAACCACCAAAAAGTCGAACATTGAGAGACATTTTACGAGAAACCTTTCTGCTTTTGTGGAAAAGATCCTGCTGGAGTTGTGAGAAAAGCAGCTATAGCTGAGCTAAAGCTTAAAGCAGAGCAAACTAACTTTTTTGTTTTTTTTGTTTATATTATATTTTTTAGTCTATATATGAGGAGATTACCACATACTGAGACATATTTACAGCCAAGATGTTAAAACATTAAACAAATTAAATGGACATAAAATGTTGTGGTCCCCGAGGTGGTTTGATTTCTGCTGAAAAGAGCCAAAATGGCTCTTAACATCTGTGTTGCAACCCCTGCCCCTACCTTAATTATGTTTATTTTGAAATTAATGACTGAATATTCCATTTTGTCTCTTCCAAAACAATCATAACTCTTCCAAACTTTACCGAATGTTTCAGTAATGACTGTTTCTGTAGTGACTGTTTCGTGACAATTTTAGGTCATTTTGAGCTCAAAGACTGAGACAGTACAGACCAGCAAACACAGCTTTGAACAGCTGTTCACACAGAAAATCATCATATTTTACATTAAAACACTAAAAAGTGCTGGGGGCTCCTCCCAATACAAAGTACCCTATAAATGATGATTTTGTATAAATTTGCTTATATCTATTATTATTAATGACTTGGGTTTAAATAGATCAGAACATAATCCTTGTAAATAAATAAGATCTGAATACTTCATGTGCCTGTGTGTGTGTGTGTGTGTGTGTGTGTGTGTGTGTGTGTGCCTGTGTGTGTGTGTGTGTGTGTTTACCTTGCTGGTCCACTCTGGTGTGGTGTGTGTCCATGGTGAAGGCTGCAGGTGTGTCAGGAGCTGAGCTGCAGGCAGGAGACTCAGACAGCGTGGACGATCAGTCTCAACACGAGAGTGAGCCAGGAGACACTCCTACACCCAGGAACAATAATAATAACATATATTTATTATAATTATACAATACAAAACATTTTTAACAATAATAATATGTATAAATAGTAAGAAAACATCTCTTATAGGAACTCAAAGCACTTTACAGTACAGAAAAAAACATACACAGAAAACCAGGGGTGCCAATTTGTTTGTTTTGAGGGCCCAAAGTGCGGTGTTTGTGGTGAGCCGAGGGCCAAAATGACAAAACAATATACAAACAAAGAAGGTATGTGGGTTTCAAATTAAGTTTTTAAAAATGTATTTATGTAATTTACAGCATTACATTATTTTGTTGCTAAAACACAAATTATTTTTATTTATAAAATACAAATTATTTAGACGTTCTTATCTGAATTCAACATATTGGAAAAAATAGGCCTTTTTAAAAGGTCTCATACATTATATATTTTATGTTTACATTTTTTCCAGTATGTTAAAAATCACCGTATTGAAGTCTCTGTAGAGGATGTGTTAACTTACCTTCACTTAGAATATCAACAAGACATGTAATCTGAACAGGGGTGTTCTAACTTTTTCACATGACTGTAAATACATAAATAAGTTACTTTCTTACAATATCACACACACACACACACACACACACACACACACACACACACACACAGAGCAGCACACACACTCACCGTGTTGATTTTGGAGGGGGTGCTGGTCTGTGCGGCGGCAGCCTCCTCCTCCATAACTAACACTCCATTCAAGTGTGTGAGAGTCTTCAGCCGCCCCAACACCTCCATCCGCACACGCTCACCCTACACACAAATCAGACTCACTCAGGGGAGAACAGTCTCACGTGTGTGTCAATATTAGAGACAGTGCTGGTTTGGGAATAAACCCAAAGGCCACGCCCCCTTTCTCCTCTTCATGTGTTAGTTGCACTTTCTGCTTCTCACGATCCGAGTAACCCAAACACATTCAGTGGTGTTGAGGTCTGGACTCTGGGGTGGTCAGTCCATCGTTCAGCTTCTTTGTTTGATGTGTCCGTCTCCTTTTCTCAGTGAGGTTCTTCTTGACAGCTACACATCCTTTCAGACCCACAGCGCTGAGTCGTCTTCTCACAGTGGAAGGATGGACAGAAACACCTGTGGATGTTTTCAGATCTGAAGCAGCTTGATTTTCTCCTCTCTCTCAGAGATGAAAGCTTTAAGTGCTGTTTATCTGATGGGGGCAGTTTTGGGGTCGACCAGCTCTTCCAGGTGGTTGTTAGGAGGCACATTTTCTCTGTGGCTTTTAATCAGTTTTGGGAAACTCAGTTATTTTCCTTCGATCATCTCCTTCATTATGCAAGTGGGTTATCTTATATCTGAGCTCCTAAGAAATATTTTCTTAAAAAAATAAATGGCTTTAATGTCCATTTTGACCAGAGATTATATGTTTGCATAGTACTGTACACACAAAACAGGTTTAAAATAGACTATGGTTTGACTTTGAGCTGATGGAACAATAACAGTAATAGCTGTACAGATTTTGATTACAATTCTTCAGAAAAATCTCAATTTTCACCAGAATTCAAATCAATTTAATTTTTAAAATTCACTGAATATACAAATGTAATCATATACAATGGAATATACTGAGATTTTTTTTTTCACTTAAAAATAGCTTGAATTGCATTTTGGCCATTAAATGAGTGCAAACTTAATTGAAAATGATTTAATCCATCATATTCAGTTCTAACTAATCGATGTGGTTTCCTCACCTGTGTAGTCCAGGGGTTGTGGCGTGTGTCCAGACGGAGCAGGGACGGTGTGTGTTTGCGAAGGACAGCTGCATCATCCCTCACACGGGTCAGTTGGTTCCAGCGCAGGTCCAGCTGTGTGAGACGCCCGAGACCCCGCAGACCCTCCAGAGACACGATCCGGTTAAAACTGGCATCCACGAACTCCAGATTGGGCTGAGTTTAAAATGTTAAATTTTAGTGCAGCACCTAAATGAACATTTGTGAAACTGAATCCAGAGCAGACCAAAAATCTAATCCAAAAGTGGTCAGTTTTGTACACTTTATAACTGATTCTACCTTATTTCTGTTGTTTAAATGGGTCAGTAAGGATGGGTCAGTGGTGCAGGAGAGCAAAGGGGCAGCGAATTAGCTTTAGCTAGAAGCCCTGTGTGGATGACGTGATGCATTTTTTGTAACAACGTGTATCTTTATTGGCTCTGTCAAATAAATACATTTACAATCACCATTTTCACCAAAACGATTTGTAAAGTGTTATATTTTGACAAACAATGTGCCAGAATTTCCATATCAGAGACTCCCTAGATCATACAAAGGGAAATTCCACCAATTTTCTACCAAGTGTCCCATACTCCTTCACAGTGGTGGTGATAGGAACCAGGGGTCGCCATGACTACAACACAAATATAGACATTTTATTTACTATCCAAAACCACCAGTGAACCTACACGAGTCTTCTGAGTTTATATGGAATTTTGATGACGGAAAATAGTGGAAAAAATATGTTTTATTTGGGGACACCCTGCATGTATCCCTCCACCATGAATGGATTTTAAGCCCAGAATCTTCTCAAAACTATCGTAAAACAGTGTCTCAGTCATCAGACAGTGAATTCATAAGATTTTCATGTAGTAACTTTCTGTGAGGGAGCTTTTAGAGGTGGACGTCTGGTTCTGACTCAGTAAGTTCCTTGAGAACAGAGCGTTTCACACCAAACCACTCTGAATGAGTCTGTTTACATCTCAACCACTAAATTACACAGAAAAAAATTGGTGGAATTCCCCTTTAATCTGCAGGTCACTCTGACCAAGCCTAGGGCTACTACAGAGCTAAAGGATGAATAAAAGCAGACATGGAGCATCTTTCTCTCACCAGGTGTGAGATGTCGTCCAGGTGAGTGAACTCGTTAAAGCTGATGGTCAGGTGGCGCAGCGCCGTCAGACAGGAAATTTCCTTCATCTTGCTCAGGCTGTTACCATGGAGATTCAGCACCTTTAAAAACAGAGTACACTGTTTTCCACACGTTGGGCTACACCCAGTCTCAACCTCAACATACGGTGACGGCCAGCCAAGTACATTTTGTCACATATTTAACAATATCCAATTTCTATTTAGTCCCATTTTAACAAATTTCAGTGAGAAAATATGTCATATTTTCATGAATTAAAAAGAACATGCAGTGTCAGTGATGCAAAGCACCACAACCTAAACCTTCACTTTAGCCAAGTATATGTTTCACATCTAAAAACCAAAGAGCAGAGAAGGTTAATAATCACTTAATTTGAATCACCTAATTTGAATTAGTGAATAAGAAAAGAAATGCTTTGACGATGGAAAAACATTCTTGGCTTCTGATAGAAATTAATGTAAAAATAATTATTGGTCCATTTCTACTGGACCATATACAGCACATATATACTATATGGTAATACAAGCTATATTATCATAGCATTACTATTAACATGATTTAAGAATACATTTTTTCTTTCTATTAGTTTATTCATTTATTTATTTATTTATTTGTGGGGAAAATTCTAAGTCATTTTAAAGCATTTTTTGAAAAAACTATAATTATTATATTCTCTCTCTCTCTCTCTCTCTCTATATATATATATATAAAATATATATATATATATATATATATATATACACACACACACAAGTGGGCCTCTGAACAGTATTAATGTAAATAAATATTTACATTTTCGCCACATTTTTATTACTGATAATTAAATAAACCGAAAATTTGTAAGAAGTGGCGAATGTGTCTGTCCAGAATGTATCATCGACATGTACATGATTAGGTAACTAACTATGTAATTGATCATGTAATTATATAATTTACACCAATATGTAACATAAATCGAATGCATGTTAAAACAGCAGTGACTCCTGAGTGTTAGTGAGGGAGCAGTGAGTGCAGTGCAGTGGTGTGGTGTGTTTACAGTGATCTGGCTGAGGACGTTGGCTCTGGCTGCTGTCAGGATGCTTTTCTCGTCCAGGCTGAGCAGTTTGGGTCGGGGTTTGAGGACGGGCTCCAGGGCCAGCGCTTCTTCATCCAGAGCCTGATCATCACAGGGCAGTGACGGAGCATCAGCGGGGGCAACAGGGACATCAGAGCCTGGGGCACAGGGGCTAGACAGCTGGGGCATCTCCTTAATGGGGGTAGAATGGCACCATATACTGTAACAGCTGGTCTGATCCGATATCCAGTACCAGTCAAAATTCTGGACACACTTACTTAAGGCTTTTCCTTAATTCTGTCTTGGCTGGATATGATGCTCAGTGCCTTTATTGGGTAAAATGATTATAACAGTCATCAGATTTTGAAATTGGTAATCTGACACATCGGTTTGGTTTTATTGAAATATGGCTGTGAATGTAAATCTTGGTGTATTGTTTTTATTGTCTATATTTCATTGATGTGGTCCTATGGTTACATTTATGCATTCAATATCATACTAGAAAATGATCATGAAAATGAAAATACTAGAAAATGATGAATCATACTAAAATAACTCAGTTCAGTAATGCAGAAATTTGAGATTTCATTTTGTTTCCTAAAGCGTCCTAATCAAACTGGGCTGACCTTCAAAATTTCACGAGGCTTTAATCATTTCCTAAAGAACTGTAAACACATTTGGGGTCAAAATTAAGATTTCATGAAACTCTAAATTGTTTTCTAAAGAAACACATTTAAATTGAATCATGGTGAAATGTGAGATTGTATCTGTGTCCAAAACTGCACACTAGTACATTGTACATACTATACTCCTTAAAAAAGATGGTTCTTCGAGGGTTCTTTAGTAAATATAATGGTTCCATATAGAGCCATGAACACTCAAAGAACCCTTTGCATGATTAAAAGGTTCTTTGCATGGTGAAATGTTCTTCAGACTGATGGAAAATGTGCTCTAGATGGTTCTATATACAACATTTTTGAAAAAGGTTATATATAGTACTCAAAAGGGTTCTTTTATTTTGACGATGTCCAGCTGGTAACAATAGAAGAATTGTCTTTTCGAAAAGGTTCTATACAGATCTATATACAGCACATTCTCCATCAGTCTGAAGAACGCTTTAATCATGCAAAGGGTTCTTTGAGTGTTTATGGCTCTATATAGAATCATTTTTTTTACTGAAGAACCCTTGAAAAACCATCTTCGTAACAATGTACAGTAAAGAATGGACTTCTAATGGTGGTGTAGTATTTTGAGGTACTGTTTAATAAGGTAGTTTTGGGGGTATATGACGTGTGGAATCGTCTCCTGAAGAATCAAATCGTGTCACAGTGAAATTTGAGATATAATATTGCGAAGAATAATTACTCAAAGAACTGTAATTAAACAGGGATGATATGTGAGAAATCATGACAAACTGAATGGTTTTCTAAGGAGTCATATTCGGACTGATGCATTGTGAGGTCAGAGATTCAGAGCTTCGATATGAACTACATGCTTGAAATAGTTCTTCAAGTGTTCCTTAGTAAAGGCAATAGTTGTATATAGAACCATTAACACTCACAGAACTCTTTGCATGCTTAAATGATTCTTTGCAGGGTGAATGTTCTTCAGATTGATAGAGAATGTGTTGTATATGGTTCTATGCAGAACCTTTTTGAAAAGGATTTCTCTATTGTTACAAGATTGATATCATAATAATAGCAGAACCCTTTTTGGTGCTATGTAGAACCATACACAACACATTCTCCTTCAATCTGAAGAAAAAATTTCACTGTGCAGAGAACCATTTAAGCACGCGAATTGTTCATTGAGTGTTCATGGTTCTATATGGAACCACTGCCTTTGCTAAAGAACCATCTTTTTAAGAGTGTAGTTTTATCTGAACGTTACCTCTGTGATGTACTCAAAGTCAATGAGGTACTCGGGGAGGATGAGCTCATGGTCAAAAATGTACCACACAGTCTGTCTCTGACTGCAGTCACAGCGCCCCTGCAGGTCGGAGGAACACACTGAAACACACACACACACACACACACACACACACACACACACGTCACTTAAAGCTTTAACACATCAGTAAAAAATAGACATTTTTAACTGAAGAAATTGAAGCCGATCATTTATAGCAGTGTTTAGAACTGAACCTGAGTGAGGTTTTATCAGACATCACATCAGTTTAATGTGTCCACTGAATGTTTCTTTACATTCTCCTTGCTTTCTATTATAATAGCACTTTTCCATTTAATCTATTCATGTCCAACAGCTTGTATGATGCCAAAATTGCAAAATACTCGCTCTGATTGGTTTAAAGTGATTACATTTTATACAGTTATATCTTGGATCAACGTATCACTGTCCATTTGAACCCCTCTGACCGCATGTTATTTTCATAGACTATAACAAAAGCGCTAGGAGGGACCTATTTAGGCCCCTGTCCCATTTCACCCCTGGCCCCTACCACTTAGGCATACACCTCCGTTTTGCGTGTTCTTGTCTAGGGGTAGGGTGTCCCGATTCTTGTTGAGATAGAGGGGTAGAGCGGAGTGTTAGAGCTACATGACCCATCCAAATGGAGTGTTATGAGAAAAAAAGAAAAACCGGCAAGACGGCTGAACAAGAGACCAAAGAAACACACAAATGTGAGGATTTTCACTGTTAAAAATTACAATAACCACTGTTCTATCTCAGTTTAATGTCATTTCAGTGTATTATGGTTCTTTCCTTCATAACAAGCATAAAACATCACTATTATTGTGCTGATGTCTCGGTAGCTAAATCTCCCATTCCACCTCAAACAGTCCAGCAGTTACTTTCTGACGCCTCAGATATCAGAACTGCTGCTCCATTTAAGGTGGAACGGGAAAATTCGAACGAGAATCTGGTGAATATCTGACTTCAGCATCATATCACTGAAGAATTAGGGGTGGGTGATAATAAATAATTGCCCCCCTCTTTGAAGTCATATGATGCCCTAAATGTAACTAAAGCCCAGCAGTGAGGAGCTGAACTTTACCCTCCTCTGCTGTCACTGCAGACTGGCAGGGTCGCCTACAGAGCAGCGCTGGTAGCTGTTAATGAAGTGATGCTCTTTTCATTTCAGAGGGAAAATTCAACCAGGGTGACACTCGAAAACAAGGGGTAGGGGTAAAAAGGAGAAATGGGATTGGGCCGTAGACCGTAGGCTAAAACCCTGCAGCAGCACCCTGCTGTTTGCCCTTGCATCCACCAGGTGTCACTAATGTGCAACAGTTTTAAAGGCTTCAACTAATGAACCATTTTCAAACTCAAAGTGAGTCAGAAAACATTTTCCTTCCTCAGTGTGATGTATCTGTGAGCGAAATCCGAATCAGGGAGGGTCTCTGAGCTCACTGAGCGTTTTATCTCCATGATAGTGGGGGTGGTGGGAGGGGATGCTCTTGTGGATGAAAACCACAATCTTTCAATGTGTGAGACACACAGACAGATTCTCACCTCTGCCCAGCGTCTCCTGGCTGGTGGTGGGTTGTTTGGTGTTGGCCTTGCGGTAGACAGACTGAGCTTTGGCATAGATGTCAGATCTCACAGGCACTCCATCTATCGCTGGAACGCTGTGACCCAGAAACACTTTACACACGATCAGCTGACCTGAGACACACAAACCAACTTACAATTAATAGAATTTTAAAAGAATTTTAAATTACCTTATAAAAACATCCACCTTGTAATATCCACCTTCCTTCCCTTCAGACTAAAGTGACACCACTTAAGATCTCGATTATCAATATGCTCATTCCATCCTTCCATCTAGATCATAAGGAAGTCACTGCTCTAGATAACGATAAACAAGTGCTCTAGACAATCAAGATCAGGAACTTCTCGAGATGAATGCCTGAAAATGCTCTGGACAACTGGTAACCACAGTTTTAGATAACTGTGACAAACAAAGTTCAGTCACATTTTGTGCTGAAACTGATTGGATGAGAACATGTATGTGTGGGGAAATAATGGAAAACTGACTGTTCTAGATCATGAAGAGCGGTTACTGTAGATCATGAGAAACCACTGCTCTAGATAATCAAGGAAAAGTTTAGAAGCACTGCTCTAGATAATCCAGCGACGGTTGAGAAACACTGCTCTAGATATTCAAGCGACGGTTGAGAAACACTGCTCTAGATCATCAAGTGACTGTTGAGAAATACTGCTCTAGATAATCAAGTGATGGTTGAGAAGCACTTCTCTAGATAGTTAAGTGATGGTTGAGAAACGCTGCTCTAGATAATCAAGCAAAAGTTGAGAAGCACTGCTCTAGATAGTCAAGTGATGGTTGAGAAACACTGCTCTAGATAATCAAGTGATGGTTGAGACACACTGCTCTAGATAATCAAGTGAAGTTTGAGAAACACTGCTCTAGATAATCAAGTGACGGTTGAGAACCACTGTTCCATATAATCGGGTTCAGGTTGGAAACCACTGCTCTGGATAACCAGGTGCAACCAATATTCTAGATATCTAGATTTTTTGGTGCAGGTAACTAATGATCTAGATACTCAGGTTGAGAACCGCTGCTCTATTGTTCAGATCCTGACCGTGGATGAGGGCCGGAGGGTCCGCTGGGTTTTTGGCTCCGTGTTTAGCGGCCGATCTCTGAGTGGATCTCATATGCAGCTGCTCACACGCACTCAGACTGTTGGAGAGAGGAACCGCTCTGTCTCCACACGGAACCTGAGGAGAGACCATACACACACGTAACCCTGTGCAAATAGTAAACTGGAAAAAGCTGCATGAGTTCACACTGAGAATGTTTATAATGTACTGAAATTAAAGCTTCTGAGCTTCATGCAGTTCACTATTTTTAAAACAGCAGTTAGCTCCGCCCACACAATCTGATTGGCTGAACATCCTTCTACCTGTGCTGTTGTTATCAGGGGTGGAAAATATTTGAGTGATTGTACTTAATACAACAGTCAGTTCCGGCCACGCGAGCTGATTGGTTGAGAAGCATTCTAACTGTGCTGTTATTTCACCATAACATCACAGGTTTTTCACAAACACTATCACTCCGCTGAAACGCTGTTGCTAAGCAACGACTTACTTTGCCACAAACAGAAAATGGACACTTTTAAGATCACATTCCTATGTACTGTTTTTTATTATAACATACAACCAAGAATGTATGATATATTGATAAGTATTTCCCAAATGATTACTGATATTCATACAAGTTTTCTTTTCTTTGAAGTTTTCCAAGAAGTTACATTTAGATATGCAAATGAGATATTATCTAATTGAATATACATATTATTTAAAATGTTTATTTGAAGGCGAAAACACACTCTAGAACAGATTGTTGGAAAGTAACAGTAAACACTATTCTTATAAAATGTTTTTAGACCATTTTATGGTTCAATCTAGCATAATCTATCATAAATCCAGCTATTAATAACATATTAAAAGTCCTTCCATAATGTCCTTTAGAACAGAGCTAGAAATGAACATGCAAAATGTCATGAATGCATGATTTTTGGTTCTGAATGTAGAGAAAAGCTGAGTTTGAGGAAAATGACTAAGAATGTGCCTCAGAACTGCAGTGAGATCTCAGAAAATGTGCATTTGTGTGAATACTGTCATTATTTCAATTCATATTTTTTATGCTCATTATCTATTTTTTTTAGTGACGTTGTTGTGCAGAATGTGGGCAGAGTCAAGCCTTCATAAAGTTGCTAACCTTTGGAAAATACACATATTTCTGTTCAGTTTTGATTTTTTATCATTACACAATACAGAGATCTGAAATTTTCAATCATTTGAGCAGAAAAAGAACAGAAAAGCAAAGGAACATGGTGGTGTTGTGTTGCAGTCATGGCTTGGATGATCATCAGAGCTGTGATGTTATTCATACTTACCTTATAGCTGTCAGCTGATTTGAATCCATTCTCCAGAATATGGAGGACCTCATTAGTCTCTGTGGTTCTTTCAGGATCAGGAACATAGAACAGATACTCCATGCAGCGCTTGTAGTTCCTTTAAACAAACACACACAGATATTTAAAGCAGTTAGTCCAGCCTCACAGAGAGACTCGGCCCAGTTTTACTGTTTCTCTCTAAATTTTGGTGCCTGGATATTCGGTCTGCGTCTGTGAACAGTGAGTAGCCACAAGTGACATCATGTGAGAACGAGTAAGTGACTCAGCCAGTCTGTATATTATATACTACTATGGCACATAAAGCACACAGATTTACATTTATGTCGTTTATCAGACGCTCCGACTGACTGTTTACATGTTACGTAGTATTAGGAGTCTTGCCCAGGGACTCCTATTGGTATAGCAATCAAACCCCAGTCTGCTGCATGGAGGACAATGTAATGATATGTTATCGTTATTGTGATAAATTATGTCATGAAATGCTTTTCTGGGTATATGATGGATATGGTCAGTACTTAAAGAATGCTGAACTACTGCATGCATCATAAAAGGCCAATTACAGAAGAGCTTGTAAACAATAACAAACAATGTACAGTAGTACTATGCATAAACTGCCTAGTAACAAATTACTGATTACACCAATATCATATTTTATCAGTTTATCATTGCTGACATTTATTTAATTTTTCCTCTTTTTCTTCATAAATAGTTTACTTTGGCAAATGTTGAACAAAAATCATTGCACTAATAGGTAAATAGTTAATAGTTAAATGTAGCTCTGCTGTTGTGCTGGTGCTCACCAAAGAAAACTGATATTTACAGAATTTGCCACTATTTTAGTGTAATCAACATTACATGTGAAACTCAGAACACATGCAGGGCCACTCCTTGGTTAAATAACAATAATAACGGTCATAGTTTATCTAGGCACATCGCACAACTTTGTTTACTTTCTAATGAGCAAATGATGAAGAAATTTTGAAAAATCGGTGGAAGTGTTCAGGCCCAGTTTCTACAGGCCAGTCTGACTCACTGTGAGAAGAATGGCGGTTCATCGCTGGTCAGCAGGAAGTGAAGTTTATCCTCGAATCTCAGCCGGAGCGCGCGGTTATGGACCCGCATGATCTGGTTGATCTTAATGCCGGTGATGTTGTAGGGTTTGTAATCCCAGACACAGAAACGAGAGAGCAAGAGGTCATAACAGGAGCTGAACCTGAAAGACACAGAGAGAGAGAGAGAGAGAGAGAGAGAGAGAGAGAGAGAGAGAGAGAGAGGAAGAGAGAGAGGAAGAGAGTGAGAGACAGAGAGAGAGAGAGAGAGAGAGAGAGAAAGAGAGAGAGAGAGACAGAGAGAGTACAAATCAAAACTATAGTTTATAGTTCAGCTGAAATTCAAACATGGTAATGGTGATAATGGTGATGTGATGGTGATGGAGATGGAGATGGTGATAGCAGTGATGGTGATGGTGATGATGATTGTCATGATGGTGATGTTGGTAACAGTGATGGTAATGATGATGGCAATGGTGAAGGTGATGATAGTTATGGTGATGATGAACGTGACGGTGATGTTGGTGAAGGTGGTAACAGTGATGATGATGATGTGGAGGTAATGGTGGTGATGATGATGGTAATGGTGATGGTGATAGAGATGGTAATGGTGGTGATGATGGTTATGATAATGGTGACAGTTGATGCTGGTGGTATGGTGGTAATGATGACAGTGGAGACAGTGATGGTGATGGTAATAGTGACGTGACAGTGATGGTAACAGTGATGTGATGGTGATGGTAACAGTGATGTGATGGTGATGGCACCAGTGATGGTGATGGTGGTAACAGTGATGTGTTGGTTATGGTAACAGTGATCGTGACGGTGGTAACTGATGTGATGGTGATGGTAACAGTAATAGTGATGGCGACACAGATGGTGATGGAGGCAGTGATGACAGCAAAGTTGATGGTGAAAGTGATGATGCTGATGGTGGTAACAATAATGTGATTGTGATGGTAACAGTGAAGGTGATGGTGATAACAGTGATGTGATGGTGATGGTAATAGTGATGGTGATGATGGTAACAGTGATGTGATGGTGGTAGTAACAGTGATTGTGATGCTGGTAACAGTGATGGTGAAGGTGATGATGGTGATGGTGAAAGTGATGATGGTAGTAACAGTGACGGTGATGGTGAAGGTGATGATGGTGATGGTGAAAGTGACGATGGTAGTAACAGTGACGGTGATGGTGAAGGTGATGATGGTGATGGTGAAAGTGATGATGGTGATGGTGAAAGTGATGATGGTAGTAACAGTGACGGTGATGGTGAAGGTGATGATGGTGATGGTGAAAGTGATGATGGTAGTAACAGTGACGGTGATGGTGAAGGTAATGATGGCGATGGTGAAAGTGATGATGGTAGTAACAGTGACGGTGATGGTGAAGGTGATGATGGTGATGGTGATAGGTACCAGGCATCGCTGGTATTTCCCTCCTCAAAACGAATGTTTCCCACCGTCTCCAACTCCATCACCAGGAAGTGTGTCATCAGCTCCTTCCTGTCTGATGCCTGAGTGACGTCTCGCTGGAAACACGCCTCCACTCTGAGAAACACACACACACACACACATTACTCAGTACATCAAGCAGGAGCTCACCTGATTCCACTTGTTTATTCGACAGAATCTCAAATAGCTGATTACATTCTGTATCTACAGTTACGAGTCTGCATTTCTGCTTCTTTCTCCACCAAGTAAGCTCAGAGGAATCACATGCCAGCCTTCACTCTCCCTGTAGCACTGTGTGATAGAGGAGACCTGGCTACCAGGTGAAACTGGACATGATTAAAATTGAGGTGAAAACTGGGAAAACTGCCCTCCCCCCCTTAAAAAAAACAAGACGGTACATAACAGTAACTTTTCATCAAATTAAAATCATAATAAAATCTCCTTTTCTTTTTACAAACACTAATGTAGTGTTGATTGAAAGTTTGGAATCTGCACTTTCCACACAGTTTCCCCACTTGTAATACCACACACACACACACTCACTCCTCCATTCTCTGTTCCCAGGTTTTAATCCTCTCTCTGATGGCGGTCAGTTTGTGTTGAACTCTCTGCTTGTGTCCAGGCTCTACAGGCTCCGTGTTTTGGTCCCAGTGAAGCCCCGCCCCCTCAGGACACACCCCCTTCTTGCCTGTAGCCAACATCTCTGACATTTCCAGCTCCAACTGCACAGGAGAGACTTCCATTACACTCTCATTACAGTGTAGTGTTCCTGTTTTGTGTGTGTGTGTGTGTGTGTGTGTGTGTGTGTGTGTATGTGTGTGTGTGTGTGTGTGCGCTCATTTTAATGATGTCATTGAACACAGTATAAAACAGTGTATGTATGATGACTATTAAAAGTCTGATGATGATGTTTTCTTTGTCGGTCACCATTTTAATGTCTAATGAAGTTTATTTAGTGGAAAACAACATCACACATCAATAACACGTCAATATGCCAGCTTGGGAATAAAGCCAAAGGCCACGCCCACTTTATCAGCACTCAAACCTTTCAGGAGTTTAAAACACCTTTTATTATTTACACAAAACCTCTTCATACCAAGAAAGACAGGATGAAGTAACAGTGAAAATCAAACATTACAGAGGTTTAGAGAGGAGTCCACTAACACTGAGTGTGTGACTGTGTATATGTGTTGTGTGTGTTTGTGTGTTGTGTGTCCTCACGTGTTTAAGTGTGTAGCTGAGTGTTTTGATCCTCTCCTCTGGACGCTGCATTCGCTGCTTCTTCTGCTGCGTCAGTTTAGCTTCAGCCTCATCAAACCGTCTCTGAACGTATCGCACACGCATGTTATAGTACATCATCTTCTTCATCACTGTGGACTGAGACACACATCTTCATTAGGAGAGAGTAAACACTGTAAACGGTGGAGCAGAGTAGAGCTGGTTTAAAGGTCTGTGAGATCTGGATTGATCAACTCTGGCTTTTGTTCTTTTCTTGTTTGATTTTGTTTTGCTTTACTGCTTTAGGCTGAATGGGTGGGGCTAAACTGCTGTAGGCTGAATGGGCGGAGCTAAACTGCTGTAGGCTAAATGGGCAGAGTTAAACTGCTGTAGGCTGAATGGGTGGGACTAGACTGCTATAGGCTGAATGGGTGGGGCTAAACTGCTGTAGACTGAATGGGTGGGGCTAAACTGCTATAGGCTGAATGGGTGGGGCTAAACTGCTGTAGGCTGAATGGGTGGAGCTAAACTGCTTTAGGCTGAATGGGTGGAGCTAAACTGCTTTAGGCTGAATGGGCGGAGCTAAACTGCTGTAGGCTGAATGGGTGGAGCTAAACTGCTGTAGGCTGAAAGGGTGGGACTAAACTGCTATAGGCTGAAAGGGTGGGGCTAAACTGCTGTAGGCTGAATGGGTGGGGCTAGACTGCTATAGGCTGAATGGGTGGGGCTAAACTGCTGTAGGCTGAATGGGTGGGGCTAAACTGCTGTAGGCTGAATGGGTGGAGCTAAACTGCTGTAGGCTGAATGGGTGGGGCTAAACTGCTGTAGGCTGAATGGGTGGGGCTAGACTGCTATAGGCTGAATGGGTGGGGCTAAACTGCTGTAGAAAATTGAATAACTTGTACTCAGTTTGCCGTTTTGACTGGAAATGAAATAAATCAGGGGGTGCTCTGACTTTTCGACAGTACAGTAAACACAGACACACTCTTGTACCTCAGCAGCGTCTTTGATGGTTTTGCTGGAGACGTCGTGTGAGTCCAGTCTGTGCAGGGTCGGGGATGTGGTAGAGGATGTGTGTGGAATAGTTACACAGCACGCACACCGGGTTTGGGCTGGACTGCGGATCCTTCAGGCTCAGTTCTCTCAGTTTACTCAGACGGGTCAGCCAGGTCAGCTCCTAACCACACACGCATGCAAGTTTGCTTCGTTAGTTTTACATCAGACCTATGAGGCTAATGTATATAGAAGCTTATATTCCACCAATTAGCCTGGTGCTAACTGAAGTTTAGAGAACCTTACGGTTAAATGCAAAATTAATGGGCCCATAATGTCCATTTTTCTTGTATGTTATTTTTTCCTGCAGTTTTATGTACCAAAAATAGTCATAAATCTGTTTTCACAACCATTTCCACCTCTGTTTATCCCTTAGAATCAAACAGGCTGTTGTAACTGTGCTTTTAGGACTGATACATGCAAATGAGCTCTGTTCTGATTGGCTGCCTTATTCAAAGAGCAGGCCAGGCTGAAACTCTCCTCATTATGTCAACGTGAATGGGTGGGGCTAAACTGCTCTAGGCTGAATAGGTGTTTAAATGCGAATCAGGTTTTTAAGACATCACTTTTTTTGCTGCTTACTTTCCACATATGGAAATGACCAATGATGAATGACGAATGAAGTGACCAGTTTTGAAACTTTAAACATTAACACACTATATCAGGCTGAAAAATTCCACGATATGCACCCTTTAATAAGAACGTTTTCTGGGGAAAGCCAAGTCATATCACAAATAAACCTAACCTACCACACTGACATCAAACAAAGTCAAACAAGGCCAAAAACAAGAAGCTTAAATCTTTCTTTCTCGCTAAAAGCATAACATCAAGGCTCAGCTCCAGCCAGTCCTGCCCGGCCTGGTTTGTGAGAGACGCAGACAGAAGCAGCACACAAAGCCAGGAGCTGTCAGTCACTCCTCAGACACGCAGGACAACAAAGGCTCTGATTCAGCACCGCCGTCCTAATTCAACACGCCCGACTCCGCCCGCGCGGGAAAACTCATTACTGTCCGATTTCAAAAGAGCCTCTGTGCTTTCAGACAGAGAGAGTGACGGAAAACAGAGCACGCTGGGAGAAATACTGCATTGTTCAGATGACACAGACTGAAAAGCTAAAGTGTTCATTGAAAGAAGCTTCCTTTCGAATCAGCGCATCATTTCACAGTGATGCTGGTACACGGCCAGCCAAAGAACCGCTCTGCTGTGACATTTAAAGGGACAGTCCGCTGTTTTCTACTGCCTACTGCATCTGTAGCTTCACATTCAGTTACCACGAAAACCTGTTGATTCAGAGTGTGTTTATAATACAGGCCTACAGGAAGATGCTGAAGCAGGCTGTTCCATTATCAGTGCAGGGAGATTAATGTCTGTGGTAACCGACTGTATGCTCACTCTTAAAAAGAGATGGCTCTTCTGGGGTTCTTTAGTAGAGAAAATGGCTCCATATAGAACCATGAACACTAAAAATACCTTTTGCATGATTAAACGGTTCTTTGCATCGTGTTTTTCCTGCTGTGTTAGTTTGTTAATTACTGCAAGTCTGATTAAAGTGAATCTGGAACGTACCTTAAACGAGCTGATCTGTTTCCTGAGAGATTGAGAATTTGGAGATTGGTATTTTGGTCAAGACTGTGTCCTGAAAAACAGAAACACAAAAATACATCTACGAATATATCCATATAATAAATATTGGGTCATTTTTTCTTCTGTAATTTGTAATGATGTAGCTCTTTCTTTTATTGTACTTCTTAATTTAGACTGTAGTGTTTAGCTTTCCAAACTTCATTGTGTAAAAAAATGCTATATTGTTATTGTAATTAAAATTATAATTCAAAATCCTTAACATTATTATTATGAAAAAGATGAAAATAATATGTATTATTATTATTATTACTATTAACAATATAATTGAAAAAAAAGAATGTTGATATTAACTATTACTAATAAATTAAAGAGCCCACTTAACTGAAAAACAAATTTCTCTCACTTTTTTTAATAAAAGAATTAAACATGGTCAAAACATATATCCAGTCCATATATGGAAATTAAGCTGCATTTTGAATTTATTTTTCTGTGATGTCATAAGAACCAACTCATTTACATATATTTCTACCAATTCAGCCTCCTGCAGTTTAGCCACGCCCACTCAGACTGCTTTTTGAATGAGACACAGCAAATCAGAACAGAGAAAAAATGATAAGCCAAGAAAAATGTAGAATATGGGCCCTTTAATTCTTATTGTTTATTCTGGTATGATTGGTATTTGTGGATATTTCTGGATATTAATCACAGATTTGCTGATGAATGGAAGAGTTCTTCTGCACACTTACCAATATTCTGGATTAAATTATCAGCGAGATTCAGTTCCTTCAGGTTCTCCAGCGTGCTCAGACCCTTTCACACAAACACACAAGGACCAGATCACTAAACTGCAGGAACTAAACTCAGACAGAGGAAATGAAAATCAGCAGTACCTCAATCTCAGAGACGAAGTTGCTGTTGAGCCAGAGAACCTGCAGGTTTATCAGAAGCTCTAGGCTGCTGATCTTGCTGATCTTGTTGTCATAGAGAAAAAGCTTCTGCAGCTGCAAGCAGTTCTCCAAACCTGAGATCTCCTACATATGAACAAGGTTATACTTCATAAACCACCGAAGCATTAATCATCTGTAAATTAACTGCACTATTAAACAATAACAGTTAAAATATATGGAATATTCCACTCTATGGCCACTTTATTAGAAACACTCACCTTGCGCTTCCACTCACTGGCCACTTTATTAGAAACACCTACCTTGTACTTCCCTTACCTGGCCACTTTATTAGAAACACCCACCTTGTACTTCCACTCACTGGCCACTTTATTAGAAACACCCGCCTTGTACTTCCCACTCACTGGCCACTTTATTAGAAACACTCTCCTGGTGCTTCCACTAACTGGCCACTTTATTAGAAACAGTCTCCTTGTACTTCCACTCACTGGCCTCTTTATTAGAAACGCTCTCCTTGTGCTTCCACTCACTGGCCATTTTATTAGAAACACCCGCCTTTTACTTCCACTCACTGGCCACTTTATTAGAAACACCCTCCTTGTACTTCCACTCACTGGCCACTTTATTAGAAACACCTACCTTGTACTTCCACTATCTGGCCACTTTATTAGAAACACCTACCTTGTATTTCCTTTACTGGCCACTTTATTAGAAAAACCTTCCTTGTGCTTCCCTTAACTGGCCACTTTATTAGAATCACCCACCTTGTGCTTCCACTCACTGGCCATTTTATTAGAAACACCTTCCTTGTACTTCCACTCACTGGCCACTTTATTAGAAACACCTACTTTGTATTTTCTTTAACTGGCCACTTTATTAGAAACACCTTCATTGTGCTTCCATTAACTGGGCACTTTATTAGAAACACCTACTTTGTATTTCCTTTAACTGGCCACTTTATTAGAAACACCCACCTTGTGCTTTCACTCACTGGCCATTTTATTAGAGACATCTATCTGTCTTATTCTCTGCTGATCCACTCATTCTAAGCCTGCAGTAGATGCTGCGGTCACTCACCTTAAGCTGGCACTCTACCACCCAAAGCTCTTTGAGTGAAGGGCAGCTGTCCAGGCTCTGGATCTGTGTGATGCTCTGACCCACGATGGTGAGCCTGGACAATCTGGGGAAAAGAGAGAATCCCACCATCCGCGGAAAGCCGGAGAAAAACATCTCCAGAGCAGTTATCCCACTCCCTTCCTGAGAAACCTTCTCAAAGCACACTCCATTACAGACACACTGAGGAGAGAAGGACATCAGATAGTAAACAGAACACTCAACTCAATTACATAACATAATAATAATAATAATAATAAGAAGAAGAAGAAGAAGAAGAAGAAGAAGAGTGAATATTTCTGTTATTTAAACTTTATTTAAATATCACCCTTCATAACATAAATAAAAACCATCATGAGAGATGAGCAGAAAATATAGAAAACAAAAGCACTGAATAAGGAAGGGAAAATAAATAAATTATTCTAAAATAAAATTCCGAATGAAAATAAGAGTAAATACTAAATACAATACAGTAAAACAGAATAGGTAAAACAACAAACTGAAGCCCAGAACAAAAGAAAATCTAAATAAAATACCAAATAAGTACAATAACTAACATTTTTAAAAAGATGGTTCTTCAAAGGTTCTTTAGTAAAGGGAATGGTTCTGTTTAAATGGTTCTTTGGCTAAATGGTTCATTTTATTTCTATGGAATGATTCTTCAGATTGACGGAGAATGTCTTCTGTATGGTTCTGTACAGCACCAAAAAGGGTTCTTCTATTATTACGATGTCAAGCTTGTAACCATAACAGAACCATATCCAACACAATCCACATCAATATGAAGAACAGGTTCCCCCAGCAAAGAACCATTTAAGCATGCAAATGGTTTTAAACTGACCGGCTGCCTTTACTGCAGAACCCCGTCTTTTTAAGAGAAAAGCTAAAGTAAAAATATGTTTTAAGCTGCTTTTTAAATGTTCAGAAATGTTAAAACTCCATAATAATATGTCTGATTTGTATTAAAGGCCACTTTTAAACCGTCACAGATGTAAGTTTAGGGCCAATAAACCGTTTTTGCCACTTTACTGATGTTCCAAGCTGCACCTGAAAGCGCGAACTAACTTCAGAAGGTAAACAAACCGACTGAAGTGTCCCGTCTTACCAGCTCCCTGATGATTTCTTCGTCTCCATTGTGCCCCAGCTTCTCACTTTGAGTCATGATTTCTTTAAAATGATGTTTTCCTGTTTTTCTTTGAAGCTCAGCTTCACCGCTCACTTCATCATCGACTCGGGCTACCCGAGCTAACCCAGCTCACCGGCTCAGAGCGAATTCCTCCACACAAATAACCTTTAGCCCTCCTAACCTTTCATCATTCTCTATTAAAATCCGGCTCCGAACAGAAACATCGGCCTTTTATCTCTTCATCTGTCGAGTTTCGCCTCCAGAATGTCTGTAAAGGCAGATTTAAGGCGTTAAAATCAGACAGTTTATCTCTGCAGTGTTTACATCAGTGCGTTGCTAAGCACATCTGCGTCCTTGTTGCTAAGGCGCCATGTTGGGGTGGTAGAGCGTTCTCCCTCCCGTGTTCCAAGTCCCGCCTTCCTACGCTCTGATTGGCTAGTATGATTCACCTTCTGTGTTATGATTGGTTAGTAGTGAGGACGTTCTCGGCATCTCAAGCGGCTCCCCACTCCCTACATAGTGCGCTGTGTAAGCTACCTCACCACCAAAATAGCGCACTTTATACCCAGTAGAGAATGTGTGCATATTTGGCTGAACCCTAAATGACTCTAGATATTTTATGCACTGTTTGGGGGTAGGAGATTTCATTTTACGAGTAGAGAACCAAACGGTTCTTCAGATTGATGTTGTTTATGGTTCTACACTCTTGGACAAAAAAATGTCTAAAAAATAATGTTTTTTTGACTGATGGTTATGGCTGGTCAGAGTCCAAACAAAAACCATATAGAGAATATTTAGTCCCGATTTAAACCGAGTAGGCAATATTTAGTCCAGATTTAAACCCTACAGAGAACATTTAGTCCAGATTTAAACCCTATAGAGAATATTTAGTCCAGATTTAAACCCTATAGAGAATATTTAGTCCTGATTCAAACTCTGTAGGGAATATTTAGTCCAGATTTAAACCCTATAGAGAATATTTAGTCCAGATTTAAACCCTACAGAGAACATTTAGTCCAGATTTAAACCCTATAGAGAATATTTAGTCCCGATTTAAACCCTATAGAGAATATTTAGTCCCAATTCAAACCCTGTTGGGAACATTCAGCCCAGATTTAAACCATATAAAGAATATTTAGTCCAGGTTTAAACCCTATAGAGAATATTTGGTCCTGATTTAAACCATATAAAGAATATTTAGTCCCGATTTAAACCTTATAGGGAATATTTAGTCCTGATTTAAACCCTATAGAGATCATTTTGTCCAGATTTAAACCATATAGAGAATATTTGGTCTCATATTAAAGGCAAACCAGCTTGGAAATGTTTTTCAGCTGTCTGAAGCCGTCAATGCTGAGTGGATCAATACTGACTCTTCTTTCTGTAAAAGACTGTCTGCAAGTTTACACACAAAACTACAACATTTAAAGAACTCAAATGGAAAAACTGTCCCATATTAAGTTACTTTATCTGTTTGTTTAAGGATTTCTTGTTGAGACCCTTAAAAGCTGAACGTATTGCCATTTTGGGCTTAGCCCAATTCTATTCTATTGTTATAAGCATGACATTGCAACATTGGCAGAACCCTTTTTGGTGCTACATAGAATCATATACAACACATTCTCCATCAATCTGAAGAACCATTTAAGCATGCAAAGAACAATTAAAGCATGCAAATGGTTCTACGTAGAACTCATGGTTCTAAATACCACTACCTTTACTAAAGAAGAGGAGGGTGCCACTCAGTTCCACAGCCCTGGTCCAGCTGCTGTAATCATGAAGGACGGCAGATGGCGCGCTAACACTGTGTAATTACAATATATTGCCGCTAGAGGGCTCAGTGTAGACACAATATGGCTGGGCCATTCATACACACACACACACACACACACACACACACACACACACTCATGCTGCAACCATAACAATAATAGAGCATCCGAGCCTTTTACACGTGATATTTTACATGCAATGCACCACTTTCTGTCTGTCTGTGTTCCTTTATTTCTTTCTTTCTTTCTTTTAGACAAAAACTGCCTAGTTTATTACTTAGGTTTCTGTCAAAGAGGCTTTTTTCATGCGATGACTGGAAAAAATCCGTGTTATCCCAGAGAAAAAGGACCATTAGGATTAAAACCTGCTGGTTTTGCTTCCAAATTAGAATTGGCTTAATGGTTTCCAATAGAGACCACTCTTTTTTCCTGTAGAACACCTTTGGGTCCGATTAGGGAACCATCAAATGCTTTTAGAATCAGTCATTGGTCACCTGTTAAACCATTAGGATCCTTTACACTGTGATGCTGTTCCATTAAAAAAAGCCAAATACATTGCAAAACCATCAGGAACCAACAGAAACACTTAATCACTTAATTAACACTTAATGAACACTTAGCTGCTACATTCTTCTATATTCACCCTTTTTTATTTTTTTATTATTCATAATTTTATTTTTTAATTTACAGTTCTATAATTTTAAATCATATAGTCTTTCTTTTCAATATTTTCCATTTTATATTAGCTGATATTGTTGTTTTATTCCTAGTTTGATGTTTGTTTGTTTGTTTTTGTTAGTGCACCGTTAGGGTTGCTGCCCAGCTTCGTTGAACAGCAGGGATAACAAAGCACATTCATTCGAATTGGCAATAAAAATGGACAGAAACTGTGATTTTGTATTTGCTTTAATGCAGTTAATCTACACTGCTTTATTGTTCTGTGTACACAGTTGTTTTCCTCACAACAAACAGTTAAACGGAGTGACTTTCTGTCCTAAATCCGTGCCAGCCTCTCTCTCTCTCTCTCTCTCGCTCTCTCTCTCTCTCTCTCTCGCTCTCTCTCTCGCTCTCTGTCTCACACACACACGCACACGCACGCACACGCACAAGGCGACGTCAGCGAGCTCTGAAACCAAACCATCCGGCTCACACTCTGTCTGCACCGAGCACACAAACGCGCGAGCATCGGCTCCGTTTCGTAAACAACAACAACAACAACAACCAAACAGCAACAACAGCATCAAAATCCCGACTCGTCTCTCGCGCTTCTGCTTTTTCACTCTCGCCGTCGCTGATTTTTCACGCGGAGCTGTGTGTGAGCGTGCGCGCGCCGTGCGAGGATGGCCGGGCAGCGGGCTGTGGCGGATTCGTGGCTGGGGGAGGAGGAGGAGCTGGACGGGCTGGGCAGCTCCGGGCCTCCTCTGGGCTCCAGAAACTGGGAGGATGTAGCGAACAGCTACTCCGCCGAGGACGGGCGGAGAGGCACCGGCGTTGCCATGGAAACTGCATCCACAGGTAAGCGCATCATTTCCCCGGAGAGCGAGCGTAAGTCCGCTGGCTGCTGGTCCACCCTCGGACCACCCAGATTACTGCCCTGCACGCAGGGCCTGAATTTCTAATCTCCTCGGACAGATTTTAAACCCACACGGACTTTTATTTTGGAAAATAGGATAAATATCACAAACAGCTGGGAGAAAAAATGAATGAGTGGGTCTAATTTAAAATGACTGGGTTGAAAGTGGTGTTGCTGAAACTGTGCCAGGTTAAAATGATTTGCTAAACTAATTTAGAAAGGATAACGAAAGAAAGAATGAGGAGAAACGAGTAAACTGGACTGTGAGTGGACAATGAGCGATGAAAAGTGGCTCTCTGTCTAAAACTCTGGTGGGCCGCCCAGACAACGCTGAGCAATAAGCCAGTGGGCCGAAAGCTTTGCCGTCAGCGGGCCCACAGTGGCCCTCTATCCTCGTACTATCTGGGTCCTTGAGTCCTTGTCCAGCAGGGATGCTGTGTGGTGATGGAGGGAGCTGGTGGTGGTCCGGACTGAACTGACCCTTCTTTGAAATTTCTCTAAAAATGGCAAGAATTTTAAACCAAACTGGCGCGTAATAAAAACAATGATTCCTAACACGTTCTGAAATCTCTGTTGGGGCCCAGGCTTAGAGCGCCCCCTGTGTCTGGATGCCTCTTCAACCAGGGTGTGGCAGTGCCTAGATGTGTGTGGCACTTTTGAGTGCCTGGGTGTGGCAGTGACTAGATGCCCCTGGCCCCGGCTGTGGCAGCTTCCAAATGCCTTGCTATCAGAGTTATCGTCTCCATAGCCTTAACCTACAGGTGGCAATGTCAGTATACGCCTAGACCCATCCCAGATGCCTCTCTCCTGAATGCGGTATGTCTAGATGCCCCTACTGCTGGATAGGCAGTGCCCAGATGACCCTACACTGGGTGTGGTACCTTTCAGATGCCACTCTGCCTGGGTGTGGTAGTGCCCAGATGCCATTCTCGCTGAGTGCGCCAGTGCACAGATACTACTACACCCTGTGTGGCAGCATCCATGCCATCCTATCTGGATGTGCCAGTGCCTTATGCCACTTTACAACCATTTGGATGCCCTTAGACTGGGTGAGGCAGTGCCCAGTGCTACTCTACTTGAGTGTCCCAGTGGTTCCCCGATGCCCATACGCACCAGTTGTGGCAGTGTTCAGATGCCCCACACCTGGGTGTGACACCATTTTGCCTAGAATGATGGGCCTGGATGTCAGCCTAGCAGATGGTGGCAGTGCCCAGATGCCAGTCTACCAGGCTGTGGTAGTGCCAGAATGCCAGCCTACCAGGCTATGGCAGTGCCCAGACACCAGTGTACCAGGCTGTGGCAGTGCCAGGATGCCAGTCCACTAGGCAGTGGCAGTGCCAGGATGCCAGTCTACCAGGCTGTGGCAGTGACCAGACGCCAGTCTACCAGGCAGTGGCAGTACCCAGACGTCAGTCTACTAGGCAGTTGCAGTGTACAGACACCAGTCCAGGTAGTGGCACTGCCCAGATGCCAGTCTACCAGGCATTAGTGCCAAGATGCCAGCATACCAGGCTGTGGTGGTGCCCAGATGCCAATCTACTAGGCTGTGGCAGTGCCAGGATGCCAGTCTACCCGGCTGTGGCAGTGCCAGGATGCCAGTCTACCAGGCTGTGGCAGTGCCCAGATGCCAGTATACCAGGCTGTGGCAGTGCCAGGATGCCAGCCAGACACCAGTCTACCAGGCTGTGGCAGTGCCAGGACGGTATCCTTAAGTACATTTACAGTGTGTTTACACCCTGATGATAGTAGATGTACTTTGAGTATGATATTTGGACATATTATAAACCTCATAAACTGACTATGACTAAGATTTTGTTTAGATACATTATCAGAGGAACTGGATGGAGGCTACAGTGGAAAACCTGCAAGAGGGCACAATAAAAGTGTTAATATTTCTGTCGCTTTTCTAAGCTAACAGCATGTAAAGGTTCATTATCTTGCTTTTGTTTCAGATGAGTGTGTGTG